ACACATAAAGACATGGTCTTACAAGAAAGCCATGGTTACCACAGCTGTACAAAGTAGGCTCCTCATAGGATTTTTCATGGACAATGGTAAGGAGTCATGGTAAAAGGTAAGGAAATCTGAATAAACCTTGAATTCAAATAATTATGAATGTCTTGCTTTACTCAACAATTGTGACACATCCAATCAAAGTAGTAACAAAAGAATCAACCAGCTGCAGGGCATTTGTGAATATTCTGTCTCTTTTTGCAACTTTTCTGTAAAATATAATCTCTAAAATTTAAAAATTTCTCTTTAAAGGAAGTGGCCTTATGGTGGGTAGAGGCTCTGAATGCAGGGTATGTGTCACGTTGAATATTATGGATGGCACAAATGTGAGCTCTAAGTGTGTCTGGTTTATCCCCCACTTGGGAATATGCTGTCTTAGTTTAAATTGTAATCACTGTGGTCCAAAGCAAGTTGAAAAGCTTTATTTAAGTTTACAGTTGTAGTCCATCGTGAAAGGAACTTAAGGAAGGAATCTCGAAGCAGGGATCAAAGCAGAGGTGTAGCAGAATAATACAAACCCAGAGACAAGTATTGGGGTCCAAGCTGAAGATCAGAAAAGCAAAGCGGCGAACCACTAAAGAGACCTTTTACCCTATCAAGTGTTCAGACTCAAAGGGCGAGGGCTTGTCTCCATGAATCCTCAGACTCCACACTCCAGTGAGTGCCTGTCTCTTCTCCTTTATCTTCCTCTCTCTGCTCAGCATATTGCTCCTGTCCCCAACTCCCTAGTGCTAGGATTAAAAGTGTGTGACTCCCAAACACTGAGATTAAAGGTGTAAACCACCACCACCTGCATCTATTTCTGGATTAATCTTGTATATTCCAGGAAAGCCTGGAACTCAGAGATTTGCCTGCCTCTGCCTTCCCAGTCCTAGGATTATAGGTGTGTGCCACCCCACCCCCACCCTGTCCCATATAGCTGAGGTGTGTGGCTGCTTTGCCCCCTGATCTGCAGTCAAGTTTATTCATTTAAACAGAAATATACCAGTATACAGGGGCCATGGCGGGAATGCTGCTTACTGGCTTGCTTTCTGTGGCTTACTCAGCTTCCTTGTTACTCAGCTTCCTTGTTATACACCCTACCACCACCTGCCTCTGGAAGTTTCTTTATACAAGGCTTGGGGCAGGTGTCATTAGACTCTCACCTGAGATTCCAGTCTCTCTCTGAGGCATCTCATTTTCAGCTGTGTGTGATTCTGTCCCAGTTACAAGTGGTTCTGTAGCCTCTGGAGACACTAGAATACTGAGAGTGAGGAAGGTCCACTGACAGGGCAGGCACTTCCGTCTACCCAGGTACAGAGAAGGAATCCTTCTTCCATGCCACAGTCAGTCGCTGCTTTGCTCCTGTAAGTAATCCCTCATCCGTTAGCTGTAAGTTTTAAAGTCTTTGGCTCACCTAGTTAGGTTTTGGTGGAATAATACATTGGTCTGTTGGAGCCCTAGCTGATTTGGGAAACACTTAACTCTCAGGGTCTAAGTCAATGTTTTCAGACTATACCCACCTACTTTTTTAGTACATCTGCTTTTAATTTTTTTGTACATCCACTTCTTTTAAAACTACATTTCTGATTATCTTGTATCCCAACTAAACACTTCATCCTAGATCTGAGGGGATAGCTCAATTAGCAAGGTGCTTGCTTTGCTAGCATGAGGACACAAATTCAACCGCCAGAATCTAAATAAAAACTCTAGTTCTGGTAGCCTGTACTTGAAATCCCAGCACAAAACTGTACAGACATAATGTTCTTGGGGTTTACTGATGAGAAGGCTTACCCTATTTTTTGAGCTTCAGGCCAATGAAAGACTCTGTCTCAGAAAAAAAAAAGTCGATAGCACCTGAAAAAACACACCCAAATCGGTCCTTAGGCATCTACCACAAGTGTGCACAGATACCCAGACCCACACCAACCCACCGACCCCCCTCCCCCACCCCACACTTACAAACACACACCTACATTTGATAACCTGGTGTGGAGATTCTCTTCCCTGGATAAACTGTGAAATCATACTAGGAGCTTACATAACTCACACACCACTACAACCTGACAACACCCTCTGCCCCCACACACAGAGGGATGGAGAGAGAGAGAGTGAATTATGGACCTTATGGATGCCCAAAGGTTAATTTGATTTGCCTGAAAGGAGGTCCAGGTATCAGTGCTAAGAAATTAGGTGATACTATCCAACCTAATTCCAGCCTCCTGATTCCTATTTTTAGTTACCTCACTGTTTTTTTGTTTTGTTTTGTTTTGTTTTACAAAGTGGAGAGGATATCTAAATTTCTCTGGTCATGACCTTAACAGCAGTTTCCTTTCTTCATCTTTCTGTCTGTCTTTCTTTTTTTCATTTGTTCATTTGATCCTTCTTGTTCTCAAAAGGGAATAATTCTGATGGGATGCAGTAGCTGGTCAAGTACTCAAAAGTGTAAGCATAGCAATGAAGGAGGCAAAGCAAACTGGCCAAGTCGAGATGCAGCAACCTAGATTCTAGTGGGCACAGGACCTAAATTTCTCTTCTCACTGTCCATCTCTCCTTTGCGCTCGCCCTAGAATGGATACTTCTAGAAAAAAGTGTGCTTTTCTGAGAAGCCCAGCTTCCTTAAAATTCAATCTGTTATAAGTAAGTAGGTGTATAAGATGCAAGAATATGTAAAAAAGTTTAAGAAACAACTGAAGTTCACCGGGCATGGTGGTGCACACCTTTAATCCCAGTACTCTGGAGGCAGAGGTAGATAAACCTCTGAGTTCTTGGACAGTCTGGTTTATAGAGAAAGTTCCAGGACAGCAAGGGATACACAGAGAAACTCAGATACACAGGAAGGAAGGAAGGAAGGAAGGAAGGAAGGAAGGAAGGAAGGAAGGAAGGAAGGAAGGAAGGAAGGAAGGAAGAAAAAAAGAAAGGACACGAAAAGACAAGGGAATGTTTTAGGGAAAGAGTTAGAGCACTCTGCATACTATCCTGCCCAGGAAGTATTGAGGCTGTTTTAATCTGATCCAGCTATTATGGACCACCATCCCCCATTGTTGATCATATCCTGTTTGGAAGGTCCTGAGCTGGCCCTTCCTGAATCTCCCACTGCCATTTCCCATCTCTCTTGAACCCAGATTGGCTACCACCATTATCTAATATATGTAGTTTGTTCTGAGGAATCATTTATTATACTTCTATGGTAAAATGAAATGTTAATGTGTAGGAGAGGGAGTGGGCTGCATTCCTGCCACCCAGCTCCTGGCTGCCTGGCTAGCTTATACCCTGAAATAACAACACACAAACTGTATTCATTCAAATACTGCCTGGCCCATTTCTATTAATGTGGGTAGCACCACGAGGTGCACTTACTGGGAAGATTCTAGCCTACGTCCATCTTGGGTGGGAGCTTCATCGCATCTGCCTCAGAGAGGAGAGCTATGTCTTATGTCTGAGGTGTCTTACCTCACTGCCTCTTCCTCCCAGCATTCTGTTCTGTTTACTCCACCCACCTATGTTCTGACCTATCGGGCCAAGCAGTTTCTTTATTAATTAACCAATGACCTTCCGACATGATCAGTGTGTTGCATCCTTCCATCGTGTCTTTATCTCAATGGAGACACCTTTGGTAACAGCATGTGCACACTAGACCATGATGAGTCTTCCATAAGAAGTTCTTTTCTGAACTAGATCACCTCCGTCAAGGTTGCAGAGAACATCAAGTTCTTCATGGTGTATATTGTTCACTTTATAAAAGCTTCCTCTAGAAATGGAAGCCTCACAGACATGGGTGGCTGTCCTAGTTTTATTGTCAACCTAACACAGTGTCAACTGAGAGGGAAGCCTCTACTGAGAAATTTCCTACATCAGATTAGGAGGTTGGTCTTATGACACATGTATGTTTGGTTTCCTTGATTATTAACACACATAAGAGGTAGTGTCCACTGTAGGCAATACCATTCCTAGGCAGGAGGCTCTGGGTTAGATAAAAGTACCAGCGAAGCATGAGACTATGAGCAAGCTAGAGAAGGGACTAGCAAACAGCGCTCTTTCTTCCAGTCTTTCTTCCTCCAGGTTCCTGCCTTGAGTTCCTGCCCCAATTTACCCAGTGATGAACTGTGACTTGGAAGCCCGTGCCAAATAAACCCTTTCTTCTCTAAGCTGATTTTGTGTTGGAGTATTTTATAACAGCCCCAGAAACTGCTACTGTGACAGACTCTGTTGGCAGGCACGGGCAAGGGAAGTCACATCCCAGACTAGTATGGGCTACATAATGAAACACTGAATCAAAAAGTAAAACCAAAACCATAGTGATAAGCACAAAATAAAAGTGTAAATCTACTCTTAGGAATACAGGTCGCTGACCAACAGTATTAGCTGTGTCATGGAATTCCAATGCCTGTCTCTGATGAATCAAAAACTCTTCAGGTGAAGAAAAAGAATACTAGAAATAAAAACATCCTTTGCTGCAAATAAAGACCATCAGGAGGCTTGAATGTCATCTTAGTGCCAAGTTTCCTATTTCCACTTTTTTCCTTTAAAATATGTACAGAACCTGGGAAGATGGCCCAGTGCCTACAAATGCTTGTGCCTAGCATGATGGCCTGAGTTTGCCTCCCTGGGTACAGTGAAAAGAAAGAAGTGACTCCTAAAAGTAGCCTGCAACCTCCGCGTGTATACTGAGACACACATGCATAAATACATGCACACAGATGAAATATAAAA